CGCACTCACTAAATTTAATTCTCTTTTTATTTTTATTTATTTTTATTATTAGTATTTGTTTTCCGTATTTTATTTTTATTTCAAATTTGGTAAGGGATTCGGATGTAATGCTCCGGCAAATCTTGTTTAATTTAATTTTCTCCATAACATATTTTTTTTCAGACTTTTTGATGATTTTTTTTTTTTTTTTTTTTTTTTTTTTTTTTTGGGTCCGCGTTCGGCCCGAACGGCCGAACGCATCCCCAAGGGGTCCCATACGTTCAGGCGTTCGGGCGTTCGGTCCGTCCCGAACGCCAGTTACCCTGTATTTGGATACGAGGTTACACAATCAACTACTTAAATTTCAGTTTGATCGACTTGTAAGAGAAATCTGTTCAATTTTGGGATTGGGTATCGTACCTTACCATGTTAGACAAGTTGTTTAAGACTTCCAATGTTAACTCTCATCCTGTGTCAAACATCATGGTACGAAGTTGTTCTGTTGGATTAAACTTTTTTGTGGAAAACTTCAATTTGCCAAACTCTTTGTGAAAACTTCAAAGTGTCATATTCTTTTGTGAAAAACTCCAAGTTTTTTTTGTGGCTGGTGTCATGGGCTTGATCTGGAACCTTCCGTATGCTTTCTTATTCTTTTGAGGCTGTCAAGGTTTGAATAATTGATTTTGGTTGTATGATTCTGCTTATGACAACATAATAATTTGTTTTATATTAGGTAGTACCAAAAGTTTCAAAATGTGCTATTCTTTTTAGAATTAAATAAGCGATCACTGTTTTTAAGACTTGTGGAGGCGACGTGCCACTTCAAAAAATGGCAAAAGAGACATGTAAAAGTTGAAGTGATAATTTTTGTTACGAGATTAAGATCCTTACGAATTTTACCAATTTTGAGATCAAGTATTATTCTTTTTCAAAATTTTCAAGGAGTTTCGTCTTGACATTTTTACGTACGTAAATGATAAATAAATTAGCAGAAGAATGAAACTTCCATGAAAAGGCGGAAAGATTCATTACAGTTTTGCACGTTCGTGCAAAACCAAGCCCCTCTCTGTCTCTGTGTGCGTGTGTCCCCCTGGCGCAGGAACAGAAATGGGCCCATTTGTTTTCTTTTGTCCTGTTTTTTTTTTGCAAAATTTTGTTTGTTGTTTGTAATATTTCCTCTGTTATTTTTTAGTAAAGTACTACCACTACGTCCAGGCTCGAACTTCATAGCTGGGCGAGGTACTGGTGTTCTTTTTATTTTTAACCATCTCATATTTACTTCTCCCTTCCTTTTTTTCCTTTTTTTCCTCTCTCTCTCTCTCTCTCTGTCTCTCCTCTCTCTCTCTCTCACTTTACACTTTTGGCACAGTCTCTCTGTCCCCTTGCATCTCGATGGCATTTAATATTTCAAGTGTCATCAACATGCTTTTTCCATTGTCATACTTGATGTGCATAAAAGTTTCTGAGTTACCGACACAATGACACTGCATACTCTTTTTCTCTCTCTTCTTGATCCACACTGGTAGCTGATTTATTCCCTGCCTTTTGAAACTAGCTGCAGCCTTTCCCAAACCGTGGTTCAGAATTTTCTCTGCCGTTTGGTTCCGCATCAGTTCAGCATCGTCTTCGTCTTTGACAAGCATGGATTTTGTGCACAAGAGCTGGAAGGGGCCACAAAAAAAAAGAAAAGTAAAAAAACACATGAGTATCTAACAACAAGAGGAGAGAGAACCGCGGACACCACCACCACAGATGCAGGGGAACGTGAAAAGAATGTTTTTCCGTTTTCCTTTTTTTTTTTTTCTGCATGTGTAAGTGCGAGAGAGGGAAACAACAGAGGCTGACGTGGAGTACAATGGAACAAAGCCATGTGTCATCATTATTGTTAAAAAACACTTCACTTAAATGTTCACTATGGCGTCGTCAACCTCACACCGAAGGTGGGAGAGAGAGAGAGAGAGCTGTGCAGCTACAATTCCTCCCTTTCCCAATCCCCCAACCCTGTCGCTCATGTGTTCCTACTGTCTGTGCTGTAAATTAGGTGGAGGCCTTGCTTCTGTCTCACTTGATGAATGACTTTGTCGACAGGCGAGCTGCTTCATTAGGGTGCGACTGAGCCTAGGATCGGGGGATATTTTGTTCCTCGGGCTGAGCCTGTTACGCACCCCATCCCTGTTCTCTTTCCACCACCCCCACCACCCTCACCATCTTCCGTTTACTATTATGATAGTATTATCATCACCATGGCACAGACAGTTAGCCTCAGAAGGGACGCTGGGCCTGGTTCCCAGCATGCGACGGGTCTACCAACCCAAAGTTGGATTTCAGGAAAAAAGGCCTAACAGGACAATCAATGGTGGACAGTGGGCTAACTTCTTTTGTGAATGAACGACAATTAAACAGGGAACTCATTTGGCTGCAGCTGCAGAAGGGACGGGGACTAGGTACTGACGCTATTTTCTTGGCGCACAGCAGCAGGGCTGGAGAGGCCCCTTTCTCTCTTTCTCAATGGTATTTTTGTCTTCCTGCTCAATGGTAATCAATGATGGCAGGCTTTGCCTTTATAAAAACATCCAGGTTCTGTCGGACGCTGGATCCCGTTTCCAGCAGGTGCTGCTCCCCACCAATAGATCGGAGCCATTGGCGGAGCAGAGAGGAGTGTGTGCTCGTACCATCACTCCTATCTGCGACTGCCGGTATTTTTTAAATAAAAGAAAAGAAAATTCTTGCTCCCTCCCTCTCTCACTCTCTTTGTTTTGCGCGACGCATTTGAAACACACACGTGCATGCGAGAGAGAGAGAGAGAGAGAGAGAGAGAGAGAGAGAGAGAGAGAGNGAGAGAGAGAGAGAGAGAGAGAGAGAGAGAGAGAGAGAGAGAGAGAGAGAGAGAGAGAGAGTCCTCGGGCATGTCTGCTAAGACCAGTACTTCCACCATACGACAAGTGGTCATAGATGTATTCGGAGCAATATTCGCCTGGACATATTCCTCCTCAATATATAACAATAATGATGGTGGGAAAACAGGAGTCGTACGACGCGCTCGAGTATCAGGGCTGCTCAGGCTGTGAGTGTTGATGTATATGCCTGTCTCAGACACCATCCACTGCCTCACCCATTTTCTTGCAGCCCATCTGACACTGCACCCAGCCCACAACAGGACGATTTATTTTGAACGACTGGTCCTACCCGCACAGAAACAATCCAGTGAAGCACCAGTCCTACGACAACCAAAACCCCTACGAACCTCACTCAACGCCAGTCATCCGATAATGGAAAAACACCAACCTCGCAGACAAACGCCATTCCAGAACCACAACCTTACAGCTGTGCTACCTGCCTATTGCATCGACAACCGACGTCAAATTTATCAGAAAAGTCCAGGCACCCTCGGAATAAAGACATGTTTTCCCATCCTGCCCACGAATGGGAGATGGCATCGGAGGGACAAGAAAAGGCTGATGGCCAATGACAGCAATGACAGCACAACTACACCTCAATTTATGCACAATTGCCGTTTTGACCCTGCAGTGCCTCTCAAGGGCCTGGAGAACGCCATTGTCGCCCTCCAATGGATAGGGGTCGAACCGGCAAAAATAACATAGGCCAGGAAGGGTAAAATGAAGACCACTTGGGCCTTCGGAAAATGATAGCGAGCCAGCCACCACAACAGGTATTTCACAAAATCTTCAATCAAGAGAAGGGCATTCCACTCGATATCTCATCCGTCGAGGGTATATCACAAATTCTCTCTGCGAAAAATGGTTCCAAAGCACACTAGTTATACTTGACTGAAAACAGCAGAAAAAAATAGTGATATCACAAATTCTCTCTTTGAAAAATGCTTCTGTGGTACCACGTATGCATTGTTGCAGCACATTCAGCCGTAGCACCTTAAACCACTACAGCAGCACATTCAGCCGTAGCACAAATTCTCTCTTTGAAAACTGGTTCTGTGGTACCATGTACTTGGCCCAGCTATCAGCCAGGGGAAAAAATAGAATAGAAACGCTCCTAGTTGGACGAATTTGGAATTCGGGCGCTCCTGTAGTGGCCCTTACGTTTCCTAAAACCGTTGGCTTGTTAATCCGCCACAATTTCAGAAAACGTACGGGCTACTACAGGAGCGCCCAAATTCATCCGACTAGAAACGTTTCTACTTTATTTTGTTCCGTGGCCAATAGCTGGGCCACGTACTGGTGGTTTAACGATTTCCCTTCAGGATATCACATGTTGCATTGCAAGTCCGTTCCTTCCCCAGTTGCCCTCAACATGACATGACCTTCTCTGGTGTAATAGGGGATGCTCCCTTCAATATTAGGAGGGACTCCGATGTGATTTGCTTGGTGCTTCGCTTCTTGTTCGATGTACTTACCTTTTCTGTGTTTCTTTCAATTGCGTAGTTTTGTTCTCCGTTCGGATTCTATTTCCTTTCTGCTTCGCTTCTTGTTCGATGTACTTTAACTTTTCCTGTGTTTCTTTCAGTTGCGTAGAGTTTTGTTCTCCGTTCGGATTTTATTTCCTTTCTGCTTCACTTCTATTTGATGTACTTGACTTTCCTGTGTTTCTTTCAGTTGCGTAGAGTTTTGTTCTCCGTCCGGATTTTATTTCCTTTCTGAGAACCGTCTTTTGGAAGCAAAACGATGCTGGCCCTTGCCCAAGTTGGGTTATGGCCCTTGTGCTTTCATTGCAAGATGTTGGCGACTTTACAAATTTGAACAATCTCCCTCAGTCTGTGCACCATGGATGGAATTTTTACGACGCTCCGATAGGTTTCACCAACCCCTCATGTGCAAGCAACTTTGCCAAGTGCTCCCAACCTTTCACTCGAGTAGGCCCGCTTCACAACTTCGTGCCGCGTTTAAGTGGCGCGCATTGGAACAACGCAAGTGCTCAAAATCACTCCATAAGTAATAAGATAGTGGGATTTACAAGAGAGACTTCCGGAAAGATGGCTATAAAATCATTGTCAAACATGGCTATTTTCTCCTTTTTGGTCGGCGGCCGGTCAAATACAAAGGCCATCTAGGGTGCAAATTTTCCCATGTTGTACTAAACTACTGACAGAAGTATGCATACACTCTAGGCATACCTCAGGATAATCACCCATCCAAACAACTCCAATTACAAAAGGTAAAATCTGTAAAAAACATGAAAAATTCTCTTCTGCTTAAATTGGAGTCTTTTACGAGCGGCCCACACAGGTATACCGTCCACGGATAAATGCGAACGGGACTGGTATTTTAAGAGTGGCCAACACAAGTATACCCTACACGGATAAACAACATTTCCTATGCCGAGACCGAGATCGTGGGACTGTCACATCTTAAACCGCTAGAACACGGCCCCAGCCTTGCAGAAAGTTTTTGTCGCCACAAGCAAAACTCGGAGGCGCCGTGCGGCCAGGAGCGCCGTTGAAAAACAAAATCGGCGGCCTCCTAAGTGGTGCGGGTTTCATGCTGACACCCGCAGGTCGATGTGTTGTGAGAACTGGCCCTGCATTGCATTGCATTGCAATGTTAACAAACAAGAATAATGTGCGAGCTTGGGCTGCCTTAGTATGATGCAACGAAGCGACAGGAGACAGTTAGTCACGTCAGTGATTCACCCATTGACAATTAGATAAGCCCTAGAGAATGTCCTCACCTGTCCAGAGCTCTTCTCTCTCTGCCTCCCTCGCTCTTTCTGCCCCTTCAAAATATGAGGGTATGGATGGAGAGAGAGAGAGAGAGAGAGAGAGAGAGAGAGAGAGAGAG